TGAGGAGGGAGGATCACTTGAGGACAGGAGTTCGAGACCAGCCTGAGCAACATAGCGAGACCTGGTCTCTATGAAAAATAGAAAAAATTAGTCGGGTGTGGTGGCACAGGCCTGTAGTTCTAGCTACTTGGGAGGCTGAGGCAGGAGGATCCCTTGAGGTTGGGAGTTTGAGGTTGCAGTGAGCTATAATGACACTACTGCACATCAGCCTAGGCGATAGAGCAAGACCCTGTCTCAAGAAACAAACAAACAAAAGTAGCAACAACCAATGAAATTCCCAGTGTTGAATGAGGGCTTATTAGATGCTCAAACTGCTATAGGAGCACCAAGAGTATAACATAACTACCTTGGGGCTTCCAGAAGGTTTCAAAGAGGACATATTTGAGTAAATTCTGAGGAAGAGTGAGAGTTGTTCATCAGGAAAATGAAGACTTCTGGGCAAATGGTCCATGAGTCCAAACGTGTCTGAAGACCTGGGCTTGGCACAGCACAGTGCATGCTGGGAAAGAGGCAGAACATGAGGCACAGGTGGGGCCGGGGTATGAGGCTGACCACAGAGGTCAGTTAGAGGACAGTCGGTTTGGTATGCTAGGCTTACGATTTGGGGGCTTAGCTTACAGGCTTTGGGCAATGACATAATTAAATTGCCATTTTAGAAAGCTAACTCTGGTAGCAGAAAGGGAGAGTGAAGACAGGTGGAACAATTAAGAGACTTATAAAAATAGTCTAAATGAGAAATGAAGAGGGCTTGAAACTAAGGCAGTAGCTATAAGGCGGTAAGGAGGGAAGAGATTTTAGAGAAATTTACAGGTTGACAAGGTTTAGAGATCTCTGGATTTGAGAAATAAGTAAATTTTTCTCGTTTGGGCAACTGGGTGAATGATGGTGCCCTTAAAGAGTTAAGGAAATCCAGGCACAGGCTCAAGTACTGAAGAGAAATAATGGGCTGAATTTTAGATACATTCAATTTGAATGGGACAAATTCAAGGGATATTTTAAAGATTTCTCATAGAAAGTTGGAACATGAATCTAAATTTTAGAATTAATGTAGAAATATAGATTGGTGGGAAGTGAACCCTATCAATGTTAGGAGAAATACAGAATTGTAGATAGGAGGTCACTGATGACTGACTAATCAAAGCAACTTTGGGGAAGTGTTTTGAAAAGGGAAAAGCCAGGTGTTGATTAATGATGACTAATAAGTACAGAAGAAGGAGGCCTTCCTTTCAAGACTTGACTTAAAAGTTACAGAGGGGAGTAATTAAAGCCGATTTTTTTTTTCTTGGGTTTTTTGGTTTTTTTGTATCTTATTACCTTGTTTTTGTTTTTTAAAGATGGCAGCTAAAGGATAGGATCTCTACATCTAGAGGAACTTTTCCCGTATCTCCAAAGTATGTAGGAAACATAGTCTAGATATTACCAGTTTTACTAAAATTTCAAAGTATCATTCAGCATAAATAATTCACTTCTGCTTATTCTTTGTGTCACAATTACTTTTACTGTTTTAAGATCGTAGGATTAAAGATGATAATTTATTTTACTCCTAGGATCGGAAAATAGAAGATCTTCGACAGTGCCTGAACAGGTACAAGAAAATGCAAGATATGGTGGGACTGGCCCAAGGTAAAAAAGGTAGAGTGTAGCTCTAAAGGTTTTTCTGCTTTGCTGGATTCTAAGTGGCTATGAATTTATACGTTTGGCTTGTCTCTCTCCTGGATCATATCCATTGGCCCAAATTAGGTAGCTCATTCATTTATTGAAACAATACTATTAGGCAACTGTTGTCTGCCAGAAAGTGTACAGGCTGATGAGTGAGTCTGTGGTGGATTGGTTGGTCAGGGAGAGCCTCTCTAAGGAGTTGATCAGATAGCATTTCAGAGAGAGAAAACAACAGCACGTGCAAAGAGCCTCGGGACAAAAGAACTTGGCACATTTAAGAAGTAGAATACCAGTGTGGCTGCGAGGCAGTGGGCGGTGGGGCAGGTGAGATGAGGTGAGACAAAGAGATGAGCAGCAGCTGGTCGTGCAAGAGGCAGAGTTCAGCTCTTGCTCAAGTGCAGAGGGATCCACTGATGGCTTTTAAAAGTTAGCAACATGATCTTTGTAACACCTGGACCATGAGTGGGGAGGCAGCAATATTGGGAGAAGGGGATCCAGACACTCTTGCAATATTCCAAGTGAAAAAATCTGGTGGTACTGATTGGGAATATATTATGGTGTTAAAATCCACACATGGTGTGATGAATTTGATGAGGAGAGTGAAGAAGAGGAAAAAGATAGGTATTTCTTTTTTTGTCCCCCAATAGATTTAGATGGTACAGTGTTTTTTTATTATGTGGATGAACTATATTAATATAATGCTGAAGTCAGGGCTTTTAGTGTACCTGTCACCAGAATAGTGTACATTGTACCTGGTAAGTAGATTTTTTCTCACCTCTCTCCCATCCTCTCCCCTTCTTAGTTTTTATATACCCCTCATTTAGCTCTCACTCATAAGTGAGAATGTGTAGTGTTTGTTTTTCCATTCCTGAGATACTTCACTTAGGATAATGGTTTCCAGTTCCTTCCAAATTGCTGGAAAAGACATTATTTCATTCCTTTTTATGGCTGCGTAGTTCTCCTCCATGGTGTATATATACCATATTTTCTTTATCCATTCATCAGTTGATGGGCACGTAGGTTGATTCCGTATCTTTGCAATTGTGAATTGTGCTGCAATAAGCGTTCAGGTGCAGGTATCTTTTTTATAAAATGACTTCTTTTCCTTTGGGTAGGTAACCAGTATTGGGATTGCTGGATGGAATGGTAGGTCTACTTTTTTTTTTTTTTTTTTGAAACAGAGTCTCGCTTTGTTGCCCGGTCTAGAGTGAGTGCTGTGGCGTCAGCCTAGCTCACAGCAACCTCAAACTCCTGGGCTCAAGCGATCCTCCTGCCTCAGCCTCCCGAGTAGCTAGGACTACAGGCATGTGCCACCATGCCCGGCTAATTTTTTCTATATATATATATTTTTAGTTGTCCAGATCATTTCTTTCTATTTTTTAGTAGAGACGGGGTCTCGCTCTTGCTCAGGCTGGTCTTGAACTCCTGACCTTGAGCGATCCACCCACCTCGGCCTCGCAGAGTGCTAGGATTACAGGCGTGAGCCACCGCGCCCAGCCGGTAGGTCTACTTTTAGTTCTTTGAGGAATCTCCATACTTTTTTCCATAGGGGTTGTGCTAGTTTACATTCCCATCAACAGTGTATAAACGTTCCCTTTTTACCTCATCCACACAAACATCTATTGTTTTTTGACTTTTTAATAATGGCCATTCTGACAGGGGTAAGGTGGTATCTCATTGTGGTTTTGATTTGCATTTCCCTGATGATGAGTGATGTTGAGCATATTTTCATGTTTGTTGGGCATTTTTCTAGAAAGACAGACATTCTGACTAAAGCAACTAGGCAGATTCATGGCTCCATTCACCAAGATAGGGAAGCCTAGAGAAGTAACGCTGGGGTGAATTAGGGGGATAGAGTTCAGTTTCAAACATATTAAGACCTAAAAATTCCTATAAGACATGTAAGTAAAGATACTTATGTATTTTGTTCTATTTATTATTATTTTATCTGCACGTGGGCTAATTGGCCATCCTCAAGTGTGGAAAAGCTTTGAGGGTCATTCAAGCAAACAAAAAGTTCATAACTCTGAAAGCGCTGTTGTTTATTAACAATGCATGTGTTGAGTTATTTGCTCTCAAGGTAAGCACCAGCAGTAAATAAGTCTTCTGGGAGGTGCTCATAAAACACTCAGATTTTGAAATTTTAATTTTGATGAGATCACAAAGAAAATCCTGCTTTGGACTAGAATTTTAGGGGGCAACAAAGGATCTTCATCTTTTTGTGCACAGGGCCTGGTATAAAGATTTTATGAATATTTGAGCAAATGAACATCTAATTATCAGTGTTGACTGTAGCAATTCTCGCCACCCAACATTTTCCATGCCTTCAAAAGAGTCTTCTAAGGAATATTGCAGATTTGCAAGTGATTAATTTTTACATCTGCATAGCATTTAAAATATTGTTTGATTTTCTAGAACTTCAACACTACGATTATTATGTTTAAAAACCAAGGAAGAAAAGATTCATTCCTGTGACTAGACTATATTGTGAAATAAAGGGGTAAAAATCATTCATCATTGTATTGGTATGATCACTATTGGCATTTTCGTGTATTTCTTTCTAGTCTTTATTTTCTGTTCATATGAACCTGTAGATAAAAGAAATAGTTTTTAACTATGTACAGCAGGATAGATTTTCATAAACCATTTAAAGTTATGTCCTGTTCCAATGAAGAATTGTATAAACAGTGATTTCTCACTAGGATTTATATTTATTGAGTTAAGCCTCACGCAATTGTAATAACATCTAAATTCTAATAAAATTAGAATAACACTTTAGTAAAACCTAAGTTAAGAAGCTATGGTCTGGTTAAGATCATTAAACAAGTATGTGATTTACCATTTCGTATTATTCAGAGATTAGAGATTTAAGTATCATGCTTTCTAATTTTAGAAAAGAATATCTACCTGGAACTGTGTTGTTCAGCCCTTAATCCTTTTCATTTCTAGAGATGTAAAAAGAAATTCTAAAGGTTGCTGCTTCGGTGGATATGTGGTTGCTTTTTTCTGTGAGACTCTTTTTTTCTGCTTTAAAACTGGCATAAAGGGATCCTCTTGAGAGATCAAAGGTTGTCCCTCTGTCTTCCTATTTTCCTTTCTATGTTGTTTCAAGAGTACAGCAGTGATGAAAATCAAGTTGTTTCAATGGTGACTTTGTTGCTATTCAGAATTAGTTTTTTGTACCAAGATTTCTCAGCTTGCTCATTTCTAAATTAACATTCATAGAGCCCCTAATTTTAGAACAAACTTACAAGAGTGTTATTGGAATACATTAACTTTTAACTGTCTTTCCATCTTATGATTCAATGATTGTGTCGAGTATGACTTCCTCTGTTAATACCACTGGTCAGCACTCAGTGTGGCCAAGAGCCCCTGGGCCTTCGATGTTTGCAGTTTAAGATACTGTTTCTCAGGTCCCATATTGTTGTTTCTTAAGTGATGCCCAGGGAAGTTGACTCTTTGATTTTTGAAGATCAGAAAAATGTTTATGTTCAATATAATTGGGATTCTTAATCTTTTTCCAGAAGTGAAATATAAATGAAAAGCTGCTGTTGTCCTGTTTTTGCTTTGTCTTTTTCTAGGCAAAGATGGCGAGTATGAGGATCTGCTCCATTCCAGCTCCATCTCGACTTTGTTGGACGCACAGGGTTTTAGTGATCTGGAGAAAAGTCCACCGCCTACTCCAGTCATGGGATCTCCCAGTCGTGACCCATTTAACGCAAGTGCTGCCGAAGAGGTATTTGCAGACTTTCAGTATTTCCTTCATACTGAAGACTGTGTCATGGAAAGTTAAAGCACTATTGATAAGGTGAAAAATACGAGTTCTGTTCTCAGTTCGATTACTTTCTCCATTTGTTCTGGCAATCTTTGTGTTCTTTTTTTTTAAAAAATGTGTAGTTTTCCTCTCTCTTTAGTAAATGAGTTGGGCAATATCAAAATTGCTTATAAGATTCAGGAAAAACATGACTCCCTTGGAAACAGACATTATCATAAAGATGAAATTACAATCTACTTCAGAATAAGTAGGAATAAGTAAAGTGGGAATAAAGCAAGCTTATATAAATTGATTTTAGTCATTTCTTATTGTGACTCTGAAAGATGACTGAATGAAATTTCCTTCTGACTTCTTTAGACTTGGAAAAAGCAACTGAAGGGGAATAAACAGTCATAAACTCCTTTACATTGCATCAAACTGGCACCAAAATCTGTCTGTTGGCCGGGCGCGGTGGCTCAGGCCTGTAATCCTAGCTCTCTGAGAGGCCGAGGCGGGCGGATTGTTTGAGCTCAGGAGTTCGAAACCAGCCTGAGCAAGAGCAAGACCCCGTCTCTACTAAAATTAGAAAGAAATTAATTGGAAAACTAAAAATACATAGAAAAAATTAGCCGGGCATGGTCGCGCATGCCTGCAGTCCCAGCTACTTGGGAGGCTGAGGCAGGAGGATCGCTTGAGCCCAGGAGTTTGAGGTTGCTGTGAGCTAGGATGACGCCACGGCACTCTAGCCCGGGCAACACAGTGAGACTCTGTCTCAAAAAAAAAAAAAAAAATCTGTTATCTGTTGTACCCCACCCTCAAAACTCTGTGGCTTGAATGACATTTATTTTGCTGATGACTCTGCAACTTGGGCAGTGCTCAGCAGGAGCATCTGTGCTCATAGGCCCACCCAGATTCAAGGAGAGGAAACATAGACCCTACCTCTTGATGGACAAGGGACAACAACACATTGTAAGGGAGGTGGGATGGGATATATTGGTGCAACCATATTTGGTGCAACCAAAATACAATCTGCCACTCCACCCTCTGGCTATAACAGTTCACATCCCTCTCCCAAGCAAAATGCACTCATGCCCTCTCCAAAGACTCTTAAGTCACATTCCAATGAGGCCTCAGCATCCCAGGATCTTGTCATCTAGGTCAGGTAAAGATGTAGGTGAAGCTCCTCGGGTACACAGTGCCATGGGCCCTGCTTCTTGAGTACCATTCCATGCAGTTTAAAGAGCTGGGAACTTAAAGGACAAGTTATCTGGTTATCTGTTTCCCCAGACACCCAGCATACAATGGGGGGATAGGCATAATGTAACTGCTATAGGGACTCCCATGAAAAAGGAGGGGTTATGGAAGGCTCACAGGTATCGTTTAGTCCATACTGATTCTGAAATCCAGCAAGGCTCCTGTTGCCAGTTCCTGGATTAGGGCTCAGTCCTCTGGGCTCTTGGTTCTTCCCTCCAAGGCATCCTCCCTTTTCCATAAAAAGGAGCCTATATTTGCAGATGCGTAGTTTTCTCAGCTTTCTGCCTGCGAAAGTGCCCGTAGAAGTCCAAAGCCTCTTTCATTTTTTATTATCTCTGTCCCTTGAGTCTAACTTGGTATAATACTTTAAATGTTTGGAATTTCATAGGAATCAACTTATGATCCACTCTGTTAGATAAGAGCACATCCCCAGATATCTTCACTATAAGCCTTTCTCTACCTTGGTCTTCCTGTAAGGCTGCTGTGGAATATCCCATTGTTTTTAGAGCCTTTAATCTTTTCGGAAGGTTCAACGGGGATAGTACTGCCTTAAGTCTTCCTGAGGTCTTACTTAACAAAGGGTTTTACAGCCACATATTTGGCTTCATCTGAAAACCGCTTTTTCCTGACTGTACCTGTGCTTAATCTTTGCCCTGAAACCATTTCTTAACTTTAGTGTAATTTTCTGTCTAGAGAGATTAGGAAGGGGAAATAATTTCATCGTTTAACTAAACAATCTTGGCTCCCTTAGATTCAGCAGTTCTTTCTTTGGTTATCTCTCTTCTCAGATTTTATTAATACTGTAAATAGTGATAAGAAACCAAGTGGCATCTTTATTCTTCATATCTGTTGCTGGTAGTTACATAATGAGCAAAGGAAATTTGAATTGAGTGAAAATGAATTCAAGTAGCAAACAACTTTTCTCTCTTAAATGTAGGAGAGGGCTAAAATGTTTCATTAATCAAGGAATTCGTTAAGGAATAAAAAATATTTTGGAGGGAAAAAATCTCAATTGTTAAATATATGTTTATACTAAAAGGAAAAATAACGTTTGGCAGCTAATGAGTGTGCTACATTTATAGGGAGGTGCTACTGTTACATGTAGGATACACCCAGATAATCTTACATCCTCTAACCAAAAACAAAAGTCTTTGCTATGTGAATTGTAGTTTAATGATAGGTTTTGACTTTGTAACAGAAAGAATGGTTTGGTGAGGATTGCATGAGTTCAGCCACATTTTTATAGAAAAGCCAGGAGGGAGATTTGACGTTGGAGTTGTCAGTGGAAAAGAAGCCAAATTCTGTAAAATAATTTAAACAGGTTTATTTTGAGCCAAATTTGAGGACCATGGCCCAGAGCCACGCCCAAGAAGTCTTGAGTAAGTGGACTGCTGTGGTTGGGTTACAGTTTGCTTTTATACATTTCAGGGAGAGAGGAATTATACGTCAAATCATAAATCAATACCTGGAAGGCATACACTGGTTTGGCCTGAAAAAGTGGGACATCTCAAAGCTGGGGACTTACGGGTTGTAGGTGGGTTTAAAGACTCTGATTTGTAATTGGTTAAAGAAATGAAACTAGAATGTTTTAAGTTAAGATAAGGAATTCTGTTAATTAGAGACAAGCTGCCAGACACACACGGAGACTCAAGTTATTTGTTATGTAAATTGGGACCTGCAGGTTTGTCTTGTATAGTCTTAGGCCTGTTAAGGATGTCTTTGACAAAAACGGAGGGGGGCGTGATAAGCCATGTCTGACCTCCCTTCTCATGGCCAGCAACTCAGTTTTGGGGTATCCCCTTGGCGAACACGGGGTCCATTCAGTTGACCAGTGGCAGAGAGCCTTAAGATTTTATTCTAGTTTATAGAGTTAAAGCCTTGAAGTTTGAAAAAGAGATCAAGAAAGTGGGTCAGTCTGTTGGTGTGGTTATTTGTTCCCCATGATTAGGAATCCAAGGAGATAAATGAACTTCAAGAAATGTTACCAAAATCTCAGCACTTGTCCTCGCGGTTACCTCAGAAGAACGAGAACAACTGGTTGAGGAGGAGGAAAGAGAAGTTTTATTACTTTGCCAGCAAAGGGGGAAAGCTGTAGACTCCTGTCTCTAAATCCTAAATTCCTGTCTGTAAGCAGAATTACAGCGCTTTTAGAGGGAGGCCATTCAGCTTCAGGCATTTGCTGTTCATCTATATTTGATTATTCTGATCTGACTCATCTCTGGGGGATACAGTCTCCTGACCTCTGCCCAGACCTTCCCCTGGAGAGTTCCTGTTGCACAAAGAATAAAGGACATTTCTCTGCCCCTCCCAACCAGTGGCCTGAGGCCAGGATGCAGATTTTTGAGTTCTCAAAAAGGAGTAGATGCACCATCAAATTGGTATTAACTGATCAACACATAAGTGTACATATAAGAATAACATCTATTGGATGTCGGGGAGGGTGGAGGAGGGGCGGGTATTTGCATACACAAAGAGTGCAATGCGCACCATCCAAGGGATGGGCACACTTGAACCGACTTGGGGGGGAGTGCGGAGGCAAGGGCAACATACATAACCTAAACATCTGTACCCCCATAATATGCTGAAATAAAAAAAAAAAAAGGAGTAGATGTTTTAAAGAGACAGAAAATATTTTTTGCCATTTTTTTTCAGGCCATTCTCTCTGTTACAGAAATAGTGATAATGGCTAAATAAGTTGCCTAGGATTAATCATAAAGATGCAAACTGAAAAAATTAATAGTGAAATAATCTCCCATTTTATAATAATATAAATTATATAATCTTTTATAGTGTAAAGGATGAGACCACCACTCGGTAACTGAAACAAAAATCACAAAGCTGAATATATTACTTGCTTAAGTAAGTGAGCTTTGCTGGTCAAGTACATTTTCTTTAAGCTGATCATATGTAGGGATTTTAGGATGCTTAGAGCTGAAGGATTGGTGGACTTCTGGTGACAAGAGTAAATTGACATCAGCTGGAGAGGTGTGGTTACTAAGGCGAGACTGCTTCTGACTGGTTGGTGTGTAGAAGTGTGTTCAGTGATGTGAGTCCTTCCAGGGCAGCTTTCAGAAGTGAGAAGTTGTCACTGATTAGTTAACTTGTAGGAGCTCACTAAGGCAAACTTTGTTCATTTTTTACTGGAATATTTTTTAAAGTGTTTCATTTGTTAGTTTATGACATGGTCCACGATCTAACTGATCTACAGTTATCAAAAATTATTGAAAACTGAAGTACTACAATTCTTTCAGACTCCATTTTTAGGATGCACAAAGCATTTATTTATATTTTATTCCTGTAACATTGTTATTATTTAAGCTAAAGTGTTTAAGTGGTACCACAAAGTACATTGTAACTGGTTGTAATTACACTTTCATCCATTCTGTCAATTGAAATTATTCAACTAGTTCAGAGATAGAATGATAATTAACTGACTTGAGCGGTGTTCCATGTTAGACTAGTGGTAAAAATTAAAGTCAAAATAGAGCTTTGTAAACAAAGCAGATTACCCAAATCTCATGTTAAATTATTGCAACCCTGTAAGGTAAGCATTGTTCTCATTTTACCGAGCAGGAGATGGATGCCTAGTGAAGTGACTTGCCCAGGACCACCTGGGCAAACGTGTCAGAACCAAGATTCCAGCCAGGGCTTAAAGTTGATAGGATTTGCTATTAACTTGCTTGATGGTACTTAGTATATCTTATTCACAATATTCAGAGTCTTACTCAGAACCAAGTTCAAAAACCAACGTCCTCCAGAATGTCTCTCTGATTAATGCTTCTTCCGTGTAGATGTTTATATTCTGAAATCATTTTATAGACATTAGCGTTCTAAACACAGATATATGAGATTTTATCAATGGACTATTTAATCGTCTTATTTATGTTTTGTTACTCTGTAGCTTGTGTTTTGTTTGTTTGGTTGGTTGATTTTTGACTTTTTATAATTATATTACAGTTCCATACCAGCATCTTGCAAGTTTCAATCCCTTCATTATTGCCAGCATCTATAGACGTGGAAACTTCTGAAAATTCAAAGTTGCCTCCTAAGGCAGAGACTTCATTTGAAGAGAAGTATGTCATTTATGATCTAACATTGCAATGTGAATGTTCAAAAAAGTACATCAACCAAAGACAAGGGTACATTGCATTTATACAGATGTAACTTTTACCCAGAGAAGCAAGAAACAGCAAGGTGTTGGCGGGGAGGAGCGCATAATCAGTTCTGTATTATTGAAATAAAAGGAGTGAAATAGGAAGTAATAGGAGATGAGGCTGGGGAGGTGGGGTGGTCGGGCTAGAGAAGTATTTGAAGGAACTGGGATTTTTATATCCTGGGTCACATGTGACTGTCCAAGGATTGTAAGCAGAATAGTCACAGTCATGTGCCATGAAGCCATTTGGAGGATGGGTATGAAGGAGACAAAAGAGGGACACAGTAGTTTCTGTGTAGGCAAATAGAATTTTTTGCTAACATATTCTCAAATTATTTTTCTAATCTTAAATTTAAGCCAAATAAAATAGACTATTTAAAAAAAAATAGAAATAGTTTCCTTTGCGTAATTTTTTGTTTTTGACAGTTTTGTTCACTTAAAATATATATGGTCTTTTATTCATGAAGTTAATAAATATCTTTTTTTTTTTCGAGAACAACTGGTTGAGGAGGAGGAAAGAGAAGT